TCCCCCTGCCCTCTCCTCTACATTAGTGGTCATGCTTCTACTTCGTGGTGTCTCTTTTTTCCCGTTTTTCCCTTTCAGCTTCCACATATGAGGGAAAACATAACTTTTGTCTATGAATTTGGCTTATTTCGCCCAAAATGCTCATCTATATTTCTGCAAATTACATAATTTTGTTCTTCTTTATGGCTGAGAAAAAAAAAACTATTGTGTATATATACTACATTTTTTTGATTCATTCATCTGTTGATGAACACCTAGGCTGATTCCATAAATTGTCGTTGTGAATTATGCTGCAGTTAACATGGATGTGCATGTATCTCTAACGAACTATTAATGGAGGAAGTGAGTTTGGATGGAGCCTGGAAGCAAGGGTAAAATTTATTTTAGCAAGAAAAGGTGACAGTGTTAACATTTACAGCAATTAGTTGTATAAATAAACTATTAATATGTAATTTGTTCAGTTTAGGAGTGGAAGATAAAGGAGCCAGAGCTCTCTTAACTATGTAGAGAAATATGCGGAAGCTTTGTTGAACCACAATGTGAAGAAAGACCACCCACACAAATTCAAACCAAATTAAAGCAAGCTTATATTGTGTACATAAGAGAGCTGATGAGCGACTGTCTCACCCAGAAAAACAGGGACAAAGAAAAGTAGCTGGTCTGATTACAGGGAAGTTTTTATAACACAAAAAGTTACAAAAAGAGAGGTGTCTTGGGAGCTTACAGCTGACAGGGTTCTGGCAAGCATGATACAAGGGCAGACAGCAGGTTAATGATCTACATTGTTTAACATCTCAAGGTGGGGAGCAGACTTAGTCCAACATCAGAGTTAACCTGGAGCAACTGGAATTTCAGGGAGGGTTGTCATCTGGTCAAGGAGAGCCCAGCATGGGGAAGTTCAAAGCAAGGGCAGGAATCCCAAGCAAGTGTTTAAAACATCCAATTATGGTCAGGCCAAATAGAAATCTTAGTATTTTACAGTAAACAAATGAACTTTTCATGACTTTGTGATGATATGGCTTCCAATCTTAAAATGGCATTAGCCTGGGCTCGGTTCGTCAGCTTCACAAAGAATTCAAGCTTAAGTAGGATTTTGTTAGAAAGGAAGGGAAAGGTGTGCAAAGCATTGGATGTATATGCAAAGTTCATCTAAACAAAACACAATCCTTTTTGTGTTAGGCAGAGTGCAAAATATTCTAAAAATAAAAAGGACCGAAACATCATCTCAAGAATGTTAGCTCTAGAGAGAGTTTAATATCCATTAACATTCAATCCCCAGCACTACACACACACACACACAAATATATATATATCTACATTAACAGAAGTAAATATTTCTTTTTTAAAAATATTTTTTAGGGGCTGGGGATGTGGCTCAAGCGGTAGC